TGCTAATATGAGAAAAAAAAAGAAAAGAAAAAAAAAAAGCATCAGCCTACCTATAGCATGTCTCTGTATAAAACACAAAGTGAGGTGGCTTTAGAAGTGAGCAATGAAGAGGGTGACAGGTCCAGAAAACCCGGCAGAAATGGGACTGCTTGAAAGAAATGGCTTTTCTGGGTTTAAGAGAAAGAAGATTGAGAGGGAACACAGAAAACCATTTCTGATGGCGTTCTAAAAAGAACAGGAGTTAGTTGTTCCCTGCTTCCGTGGCAGAAGGGTTATACAACAGATAGTGGGCAGCTTTGTTTGCATAAACAAAGATTTTGGTTAAGTATCAGAAGTAGATTTATTCTGAAAATAGGAAGAGAAGAAGCAGTGAGGCAGCGCTGGAGGCTTGTGAAGTCCCTGTTTATGGAGTCTTTTAAAAACAAAGCTGCGTTAGTCAATGATGGTCTAGGCAGATTCACTTTGTTGTAAAGAAGGGATCAGTGAAGTCTTCACAGCCTGGTATTTCTATGATTTCTACTAAGTCTGTTGTTCTAACAGCAAGGCTGCAAGCTATGATCTTATTATACAAGTAAAGATAAATGGAAATCTTCATTGGGTTCCCAATGACTAACTCAGGAAAGGGAAACAGGAGGTTTGGGGAAAACAAAGGCTACAAGAACTTCTATATCTTTATCAGTGTAACGAGGCCCTTCAGTTTCAGGAGCATCTATGAAGAGGAACCTGGATTGAGTGGGCAAAAACTGCTACTCCTTGAACTCAAGGGAAAAACTGGAGGAATAGGTTTGTCCTGTGATTAAATAGATGGATCCAGGTCTACCAGTAGGATCCAGACCTACACTGTCTACACTTAGAAATGTACAAATAACAAAACCCACAGTAACAAAATGTTATTGATGGAAATACCCTGACATAGATAAAGTGGTTCACTATTTCAGAGCTGGAATAGGAGAGAGATTTAGTGAAATTAAGCTGCCTTTATTTCTTCTCTGAAGCCAGGGGGGAAAGTTTAATGGCACACAGGTAAAACAGATGGATTTTAAATTGCATCATCAGTAACTTATGGTATAAGTACTACATTTACGGTGATTGAGTGTTTTTAAACAGCATCCACTGGGCTTGAGTTAAAACATTAGATTTACTCAAGTGTATAATCTCTTACTTAATAACACTACATGTGAATTGCCACTGTATACATGAAAATCTAGTTTGTTTGCCTTGAGATTGGTTGATCCAATACTGACTAGGTTTCTTTGTTCATCCCAAGTCATTCGTTGATTTCATATTTCTGTGGTCTCAGTGTTTTTTCTTTTTTTTTTTTTCTTTTGTCAAATGTAGAGGTTCCTAAGTTCCTAAACAGTATTAGATCATAACCAGTGGCCCTACCTTAAGCTCTCAAGCATATACATAAGGCTTGAATCTTAACTCTGGAAGATGACAAGAACTGTGGGTCCAGTGCAACAAGCTGTATTTGTCCTGAGCATAATCTGACTCAGCTGAACTAGTTGTGTGCTAGGAGGGAGAGCAATTAAATCAGGACCTGTTGGGATGAAGAGAAGCACTCCAGTACTGATCATAGCAACAGCCACCACATTGACTTCAGTGCAGTTCCTCTAATGTATGCGAGAGTAAGTGAAAGTGGTTCTGGGTCCATAAGATCCTTACTCACTTGAGATTGCAGCCTACAACATGATCTGTTTCACCTGGAATGACATCAGTTAATTGAGATAATAGATACTTATCACTAGTTTATGACAGTAAGAAGTTGTTCACGTTCTGTAAAAATTCAGTGAGTTAACAAAACCTAATTAGCACACCTCCTCCAAGAAGGCTATTAAGCTTGGAGTATCTAAAAGTCCTGTCTAAAGTCTACCATGGTGAAAGGCGTAGGCTCTGTCATGCTCCCATTGTTAATGGCTTGGAAGGATGAGCTGTTTAGACAGGTTGGTGTGAATTGATTATCCCCAGTCCATCTCACAATAGCCTATAGCCTGTTGTTGAACTCACAGCTAGTCCAGGTGAATGCGCTTGGTGAGTGAGGAAACCTTCTGGAAACTTTCTGAGGCAGGGAGATGTAAAACTGAGGCAGTGCCTAAGGCTGCTAGCCTGCTAAGGATTGCAGCTTTAATTCCAGCTTCCCTGCATCCGGCATTATGTGATTAGACAGATGATCCTATTTTCTAAGGCTCTCCTGAGATACAGCAGATTGATGTGGCTTCTTAGCTGTAAAGGCATCATGAAGCTGTGAAGTACTTCATAAGGGCCTTTGACAGATGCTATTACCATAGACGTGATATTCTGAGGATAAACTATGTTATTTGTAATTATGTTGTTTATAAACTATTCTGTTTATATATCAGATACTGTTATTGTTGCTCCCTGCTACCCGATCTCTCTTTTTTCCATTTTTTCTTCTCTCTCCATCCCCAGCCAGCTCAGGTCTGAATGTTGTATGTTGTGGCCCAGAGGTGCATAAAAATGGCCATACTGCATCCGCATTCAAACTGGGTACGTCAGCATAGCAGCATGCTGCACTAATCTGCAAGGAAGCCTTGGCTCAGCTCAGCACTGCCCATGCACAGTCTAGAGATGCCCAAGACCTGATGGCAAACCCACAGACCAGCCTGTTTCAGAGTGCAAATCTATCCTAGGTCTAAATGTTTGTCACCACTTCTCTGCCTATTGTTCGGTGTGGCCCAGAAATGAATAATGCAGAAGATTATTTGAGTCATGTGGCCTCTGCTTTCTCTCAAGTTCCTTGGATGAACAGAAGTTTCCTATAATATGCTGCTACACTTAGATCCATTTAAAATGCATTTAAAATGCATTTAGAGCTATTTTTGATCCCTTTCTTGCTTCAGAATAGCAGTGCTTGGACCACCAAACAAGATTAATGAAAGCGTAGGACAACAAACATAGAGCTCCCAGGTAAGGCAAACGAACTCTTTCTTTTTTCTCCCTTTCCTATGCAAGCTGCATAAGCTGGATCTGAAAGCTGGTCAGCCAGCCTCACAAATGATCACCTCTTTCCCATTATCAATCCAGAAAGACCCAGCTTGATACAGAGCTACAGGACCACATTCAGATGTGTACTTGGGGGTGCTTCTTGTACGTTGACTAAAAAAAAAGACTAACACAAAGGTTAATAAGAAGGAAAAATACTGTTCTTTCACAGACACTTCCAATCCTCCACTGTTTGCTCTCCTTGCTGCTCCCTGCCCCTTCTGTAGTCTCCTAGTCTGTAAAATATTCTTGCTTACATTGCATAACTTACAGTGTTGATGTCACTATGGAATTTGATGCTTGGCTGATGGATTTTTTTATTAGATGCAATGATTAGAATCTCAGCAGTTACCATAGCTTTAAAACTTCTATAAATGTGTACTTGTTTCCAGTGGGGTTTTCTCTGTATTTGTTAAATATCTGGCTGATTCACAACACTTATCACGACATGGGAGAATGAGTGTGTACGGAGGAGCGTGGGGGAAGGTTTGGATCTTAAAAGCCTCATCAGATGACTTAAGGGCGGCAAATCTGTTCTGTAGAGTAGGGAGCTTTATTCTTTAAAATACTGCCAACTGCAAAATAGCTTGCAGGAGAAACATGCAGACTCAGAAATATTGGTAAGGAGATACGATGTGCCTTTTCATTGCATTTGTGAATCAAAGCTAGCCCAAGGGTACTGTGAATTATTCCTCCTGAACTTGCTGAGAACTCCGGAAAAGGGGCTGAAATACCAAGGTCTCGGTTCCTAAACACCAGCTCACCAGTGAAGGACAAGGGACCAGTATCCCATTTTCTTTCCCTAGATGAGATGAGGAGGGGTCCGAGTGATCACTTGTGTTGTCACATGCAGCCAGGATATGAAGTGGAACAAAGAAACTGCTCTTCACGTGAATCCATGTCTGCGCATCTAGTTTGTCTGCCTACATGGCAACAAGTTGGAGTATCCCACTGTGGATAATACATTAGGTCAGATAAGGAGGGAGTCCTGTCCTGCTGTATGTATCTGATTTGTTCAACTGAGGTGGGTTGGGGCTGTGGGGGGCTGTCTTAAAACTCCTTGCCACAGGAAGGAGTCTTAAAAGAGCTGTTTTAAGTAAAAATAGTGTTTTTCTTCTTCTATTTTGGGGGCTCCCTTCCTTGGCATGTCTGACTCTACCTGCAGGTGTAGTTACCCCTGATAAGGAGTGCCTTTTTCTGGTTTAAGATAAGCCACTTTGGCACTAGATTGTAGGCACTGCTCAGTGTTATCTTGACTGGTCTCTTCAGTACCATTCTCTCTCCTTTTTTATGGTCATCTTGTCTCTTCAGGTTGATGGTTTTTCTGTTTCTTGCTCTGTGTCTAGTCCTCTCTGTATAGTCCTTGGAAGAGAGAGGCCTCTTATCATTAAAAAAAAAAAAAAAAAAAAAAAATTTTTTATTTTTTGATGTTTTCTAGCATGTGTTCATGAGCACATGCAGCAGGTATGTCCTTGGGAGATAGTCTGTGTTTCAAAATGTGTTCTAGGACACATTGTTCATTCTGGAGAAATCATCCACAGGTATTTCTGAGGCACTACACTTCATTTATCAGTTCAGAGTCAATTGACATTTTCCCTCGTCCTTTCACCAAAAGGAAAAAAAAAAAAAAAAAAAAAAAAAAGGAGTGCGCATGAAAGGGTCAATGTTTATGAAAGGTCAGTAATTCCGATGAAATGCAAACCTAGGGCTTAAAAAAAAAAAAAGTTCTCCGTTGAGCAATAAAGCACTTAGAGTTTGACTTTGTTACGCAAGAGAGGAACTTTCCAGTTGGCTGGCAGTGGTTCCGAAGGGTGTCAGTGTGGTTATTGATTAATTAAGTCTATTGTTACTCACTTCTCTCATTAATCCGAGTGTTTTCTCTTCACTCATGTCCCTGCACAACCTTGTTTTAAAGACTTGGAAGCTGACAGACAATTGCTTTGAATACCAGGCTGCTTATTTGAATCGCTAACTCCTCCTGTCTCGGCAATTTCTAGGTGTGGCATTTTAGACCTCACAGAAATGGGAAAGCTGCTTAAAGATGAAGGCGTCCCCAGTCCCATGTTCAGACCTGGAACGCTGTGTCCATGCGTAATGGAGAAGAGGGCGCAAGGGGCTGGGCAGGATACACAGCTCCTGTGCTCTCTGTAGGACTGCACTCGGTTCACATGCCCAAACTGCACCTCCTGCTGTTCTCTGCTGAGCTCAGGGGTGGACACCTCCCAAGGTTGCTGTTCAGGATGACAAATCCCTTGTGGGCCCGTGGAGTATCAACAAGCCAGGAGTAAAGTTTTGCTTCTCTGTATGCTTACCTCAGTATGCTCACCTCAGTTTAAGGGTATTTCCAAATACCCTTAAACCCACTGTCCTCTGCTCGTGTTTCCTGTCGTTAAAAAGCCTGAGCAGTGCTGCTGCCCTGGCAGCGGGAGGCTATGTCTAAAAAAACAGAGAAGAGCCCATCTTCTGCTAAGCCACCCAGTCCCTGGCATCTCTGTTTGCTGTACTGAGGGTACTTTGTTCACTGGTCCCTGGCCCCAAGCCACTGCCTCATGTCACACAGGAAGCTGAACCGCTGCCAGCTGGGAGCAGCTTCTGGTCGCTATCTCCAGCCATCGGTGCTCAGCTGCAGCCTGTTAGCCAGGCTCCTGACCCTGCCCGCCTTGCAGGTCCCAGGCATTCGCTTTCCCTTTCGAGCCCTTGAGATAGCAGAGTCTGTTGTACGGGGATGAATGGATTTAGGAAGCGCCAAGGCCAAACTAAGCACCGCTGGGTACCGGCAATTTTTAGCTTCAAGTCGTCAGTCCTGGCTGGAAGCAATTGTCAGAAACTAAGATGGACCGAGTTCAAGCGCAAGAGCACAACGCTCTTCCTTGATACAGCCTCTCCCCAGCAGCGATGCTCATACAGAGATCCTTTATCACGCCAGCCACAAGTCACTCCTGCTTCCTTCCAGCATTATGCCAGTGAAATACAGGAATCGTTTCAAGGGGAAAACTGCAGCAGCCAGGTCAGGAGAGCACCACCTCCACCTTTCTGAAGCAGGGGAAGGGAGGGGACTCTCTCAGTTCAGGGCTACTTGGCTGCTTTATAGTTTTGTTTGGCTGGACATGAAAGAGGCCTGGAAGTCTCGGCGGGCTATTTTAGGAAATCCTTTACAAGTTCCTCTAGGAAATGGGCCTTACCCTAACAATTCAATTAAATACAATTAGTCAGTTGATCCTGAAAGCAGAAGGAAATTGTATCATGCATATTTCATACAGGATTTGCTTAAGTATCTGTTTTTTAGCTCTTTGGCACTTGCTGATTGTCCTTTTGCCTGTAATTCCAGCTGGCAATACCGATGCCTTTGTATCAGAGAGCTGGGCTTCCTCTCCTGAAGAGCTTAACAGCAGTGTCCACTGGCCTCAGTGGCAGTCCTGCAAGCTCAGTCCTCGTATAGATCAGGCTCGTACATACTATGCATGGGTTGGTCTGCCAGCACAGATAGATACACGGAAAAACATAATGCCTGGGGATGTCCCATTTTCCTCCAGCTGTTCGGGTAGGTCTCCAAAGATCACCTTGCTGATAACAGGAGACTGCTGTGGCTTTAGCAACGCGGCAAATTAAAACTGCAGTAACCCTTTGTGCAGCTTAGCACCGGGAAGGAGCCCTACATTCCCTAATGATTTTTCAAATGGGACTTTTTGTCCAGTTCCTAGCCACAGCAATGTGTTGACCATCATGAGAGTCCCAGGAGAGCTGGGACCAGGGAAGAGGGCTGGCACAGCAGATGGAGATGTGTTTAGCTGGTGCTTTCTTAGCAGTGCAAATGTGTTGAACATTGCACAGCCAAACCGATGTAAACAGAGTAATATATTTCAGCGTAATTGCACTAATTATATGGGGACACTGGTGTTAACTAAACAGCTGTTACCTTTCTCTGATTGAATTAAATAGTTATAAACCTCAGAGGCTTGCTAATATCCTCTTCCTGTCTCGCTTAAACCTCTTTTCCTGTTGTCTGCTTTATCAATCAGTGAGTATGCCTGAGGATTTTGCAGTGTCTCTCCTCCCTCAGATTAGGAGTGTTTGTGGTGCCTTGCTCTCCAAAGCCTTGCACACACAGGGAAATTTTCCTGAAGTTCCTCGGCCACCTCACAGCATCCTGGTGCCTGCGCTGCTCTGCTGGGTTTTGTGTGAGGGGCTGATCCTGGAAATTAGTTGATCCTGATCTGAATAAACCTGTCAGTAGAAGCAGCTGATGCTTTGCTGCTCATAGAGCAGCCTAACGCATAGGAGGTAAGGCTCAGCATTGCCCTGATGAGAGCTATATTTTCTGACTGGTCACCAGGGCGGGCACAGTTCAAGCAGTGCCTCTCCCAGCCCCCAGAGGTGCTCCAGCTGCCTTTGCAGCCTTGTTGGAGCAGCTTGAAGTGCTACATCCAAAGCAGACGTAGGCAAACCCATTTTGCTCTGTGCTATAGCAGAAGAATTTGACCCTTAAAAGCCCCAATAAATAGTAGCATGGATGGGAACATTTCTAAACTGCACAAGTGGGACAGCTGAGCATTAACAGGAGGGGGTCCTCCAGCCTTGTGCCCATGCTGATCATTTTCAGTCTCTTTCTCATCATCTTATCTTCACTCACCTTCTCTTTGTTGTCCTCATTGCACTCTTCAAATATTTCTTTGTCAGTACTTCAGATCACCTTACTGGAGCAGGAGGGAAATCTGCTTTTGCAAGAGCAAAGTTGGCGGCTTGGTGGCCCAGCTCCTGCGTGCTCAGCTCCACCAGGTCCCCCTTGAATGCAAGTGCCTGGCTTCACGTCAACCGTGGCCCTGCGCAATCCTCTCTGTATTGGTTTAAATTTGCTGAAAATAGGTCGCCCACCCTATCTACGAAAGAGCATAAGAAAAGAATCCTAAACATTTTAATTAGCAGGCAGTTCTGAACTGGCAATACTCTGACAGGGCACGGCAGAGCTTATAAATAGAGCTTCGAGTGCCCATGATGTCAGGAACCACAAGAGCATCTGACTTGTGATTTATTACATCAGATCGTGGCTGGTTCACAGGCCTGTAACTCGCAGCCTATTTACATGTACAGTCAGTACACCCAGTATCATCCCTAAGCCATCCCAGCCTTGAGCAGATAGGTAAATACTGCCTGGAATTGAAACAGTAAACAACCAATTAAAAGTTTAACCTCATCCTTCCCAGTTTCTTCTTGTAGTATCAGCTGAGGATACTGTTGCCTAAATTAAGATTGTGTGAGATAATAACAATTTAAAGTTCTTTCATTTGCCTCTGTCATTTTTGCACAAACAGTACTTTTACATTTTTTTGAGTATTTATGCTCAAAAATAATTTCCAAAGCTTGTTCTCTCATGAAAATTGGATTTATTTGAAAACATTTTTCTTTTTCTTCAGTGCAAGATCATTCTTTTTAAAAGATTGCTTGGAATAAATATGTGAAAGCTCATTTATGGAGTTTAATGAAAGACGAATTACAATTCGTATATATATTACAATGCGTATAGTTCTGGGCACTGCATGCAGATGCACATAGATTGCTTTACCTAAACAACAGTTTGCATAACCAGAGTTGGACAATGTAATTAGAAAGGGAAAAACTTGGTATTCTGATTAAATAAGTAACAATAAATTTAAAGGCACGTCTTTCTAGGGCTGAGGGGAGGATCTCATTCACCTTGGCCATGTTTTGGAAGAGGTCACAGTTACAGATCAAAGATTTACATATAGGCCAGTATAAACCTCTGTCATTAATGACTCCTGAATGTAACAATTTTAAGACTGGAAAATTCTGTGTCCCTTTCATGTCCCCTGCTGTTACCGATTTCCAGGGAGAATTTGGTTTTCCATAGCTGACTCATGGAGGAAGACACCCAGCAAGAAATCTGCTGGAAGAGCAGATCACCTGTCAGCCTATGCCAGTGCAACTGGATGCATTGCAAGACAGACAAAGCCCACCCTAAATAAAATGCTGTGTGATGATACCCAGCTATCTGAAAGCTGGTATATGCAGGTATCTGAAAACGGACAGGGAATACCTGCATGGTTTAGAAATGGCAAAATGGGAAATAACTTACCTGGGCTGCTCGCAGCTGAACATCGGTAGATCACACTGGTCCATTTGCATGTGTTCTCTGTCAAAGTGCACTGTAAAGCACTCCTAAATGTATGTTGTGATTTACTCCGCCCTCTTTTTAAAAGACAATACAAAACCAAACCAAAACAAAAAACCTTAAGTAATCTAAGTCTACCAGAGAACAAAAGTAATTAGTAGCACTAATGTCCTGTAAAATACCTTGGACTATGCCTTGAGGTTTCATAGTATGCGATCTTAAAAGCATCGCCTGTTCTGCTGGAAAGCCTGCCTCTGCCCTGGGAGCAGAAGCTCTTTTCCTATTCTCATGGGACAAATCCCAGAGCAGCTAGTAGAAGATCAAATACTACATGTCAGTGTCATTTGCAAGGGGGACACAAAGGAAACTTTTCCCTAGCGAGATGGTTCTTTCTGAATGTTCATCTGTCTTAACTGACGGACTAAATGTTAGCAGCCCTTGCTGGAGTTGGGACAGAGTGCAGATGAGATGATTAAATCTGCATGAGAAATTTTTTTGCATTTTGCAAAATTTTGCAGATTTTGCGTTTTATATGTAGCTGTATTCGCTAAATAGCGACTTGGCAGGTTAAAATATGCTGGTGGCCAAAAAAGAGACATCTACTCCACAGCATTTCAGCAGTATTTCTTCTAGTTATGCTTATGTATATCTGTAGGTGGCCTCAAAGCTGATTGGTTTTTTGTTTGTTTGTTTAACTTTTGGGTCTGCTTTTGGATATCTGAATGTTTTCAGACTTCTGCTTATGCTATGGGCAGAGGGCTCAGTGGAGATCGTGAGAGTGCCAGGTGCTTGCTCCCTCTGAAACGAAGAGCCAAGGTGTTGTGAATGTCAAGAAAAAATGTGTATCTTTGTGCAAAGAAAAGGTATTTGTGTGCACTGCTGCTAATCTCAGGTGTTCAGTCATCAAGGAGTGGGCCCTCAACATTTAGAAATTAAGTATTATTAAACACATGGAGCCCCCACACAGTTTTTTATACCTTCTGGATATGGGTGCTTTTGGTGCACAGAGAGATTTTCAGGCTTTTTGGTGTAGTCATGACAGCTTGAATCCTCTTTCCCTTCGAACAAAGCACCTATGCAACCCCCTGACACCAGGAACTGCGTCAGGAACTGCTTGAAGAGAAATACCAAATATTGCAAAACTTGCTTTAATAAAAATATGCAGGTAATTTGTAACATTTCTCATCCAGTTACTGGCACGCTGCCACTGGTGCACGGTAGCACTGGAGGATGACCCAGTGCCCCACTGTGTATTTTCCCGTGTCCATCTCCCAAGATGTGTGGTGTTAGCTGCTGTCAGAGCAGGGACAGTGGGCGAGATAAACCTCTGCCCTGCTCCACTCTGGCATTTCTGATGTATTTTGGATTCTGAAGAGTTAATGAGTATATGGATTCATTGTTCTTCCTCCCTAATTAGATCCCAGAGGAAAAACGCCACAAGCCTCAGCCACGTCCTTAATCTCCTGAACAATAGAAACGGTATTGAAAAAAAATCAGCTCCCTTCCTGGGAGGAGTGGACACTTCTTGGTGGCTCAAAGCCAGGTTTCTGGTGCAAGCCCCACGCAGGGCTGGACAGGGACCTGTGGGCACCTCCTCTTGGCTGGGCTGGGCTCCTGCCAGGCAGGTGTGTGTGGCCCCAAATCTGCCAGCAGTGCAGAGGGATGGCAGGAAAGGGGAAGCCCAGGCACTTGGGCAAGCAGCGTGCTCACCTCTGCGAAAGGCAGCTTCCTTCCAGACTGGCAGTGCTTTTGGATGGACGGGTGCCCCACACTTGCCCAATGTGGCTTCTGGAAAGGCGCCTTCCCTCTCCAGGTCTGTCAGCTCCCCAGCACTAAAAATACTTCTGTGAAATGTGCACTCCTCTGCACGCACTGGTGCAGAGGGCTTCGGCCGGGCTGGCAGAAGCAGTCTCCTGATGTTTCCCATGTGCTTCAGGAAGGGCACAGTCAGCTGCCCAGAACCATTATCAAAAGAATTGGGACAGAGAAGTGAACACATTAACCCAACCTCTCCTCCTCCTCCTCCTTCTACTCCTCCCTCTGACTCAACAAGTGGTGTAAGCTGCAGAACAGCATCCTTATCCACCAAAGCATGTGCTTTACTTCCATAACAAATTGAGGTATTAGGATTTTTAAAGCCCAGATGTTTCTCAGAGTTATATAAACCCAGGGGCACCCAGATGCCTACGTACTCTGACTTCAGAGCACAAGCAAAGGGAAAATCCCTTCAGGATCACATGCCTGGCCCACGACCAGGCTGCTGAGCAGGGTTATTCAAACTGTGAGGTGCAAGAGGCTGAGATAGCAAAAGTCCAAAAAAGAATGTGGAGAAGGTGCAAAATCACATGCTTTTCCTTTTCTTTTTCCTCAGATGGGCCTTGGCAAAACTAGAAAGTACTACAACCCTGCCTCCCAAATCAAGAGTCAAGTGCTCCTTTGAAAGAGCTCATGCAGAAAGCCAGCCAGCAGTAGAAGAGGCTAAGAATATTGAAAAGAAAAAAGATGTAACTAGACAGGTAAATATTGCATTGGGTGTTTCCAAATGTAATGTGTTTCTTTTTCCTCTTCCTGCTTCCCCTATTGAGACAGAACTCTCATCTGGGAACAAGGAGAAATTCCCTCTTGTTTTGTTGAGCTAGGGTGTATAAGAAAAATATTTATTTTTCCTCTTCCTGCTTCCCCTCTTGAGACAGAAAACTCTGATCTGGAAGCAAGGAGACATTCTCTCTTGTTTGGTTGCATTAGTGTGTATAGGCAAAGTTCGAAAATTTATAGGTTTTGAGAATTATGTTCTACCTTTAGAACTGTAATGAACACTGAATCTGGTTGATGGAGGTCTTTCTTGGTGAACTTGAAATGTTGACCAGGAGCTCTTTGAATTCTTAGCCAGAAGGTAGCCAAGACTATTTTCTTCCAACAGCTTATTTTGGCATTTTAATCAAAGAGATGTTAATGAGCACACAGCATTAAAAAGAGCTGCTCCTGCCTCATACTAGAGCTCATCTCTGCCATAATAGCTCTACTGAAAAGAGGAAAACCATGGTGTGGATTCAGTCCTGTGTGGGCTTTGGTTCTGTTTCTTCTGTGAAGCTCTGTCCCGTGCACAGAATGGGCAGCCTGACCCCTGTCTACCTTCCATCTACCCTGGGATGCCTGTCCTGAGTTACAGCAATCAACAGCATGACCCAGCCTTATCTGAAACTGGGAAATCATAGAGCTATTAGGAATGCGGAAAATACCTTTTTTCCCCCACCTCCCACCACACCCCCAGGCCCCAGGCAACTGCAATCAGCAAAAGCTTTAATGTAAGTGCAGTGATACAGGCAAAAACATTGTGAGCTTTTTTGCTGGTGTGGCTCCTTATTACTACCTGGGAAAATAAACCACAACAGCATTGCTGAACTTTGCTAGTTACAGCATTACATCTGTAGCTGCACCTTGTTTGGTGGTGACAAAAAGTGAGATTTGAAACTGTGCAACCAGTGAGGCAAGAAATATATTTTAGTAGAAGCTGCAGCATCATGAGGAGTGAAGGAATGAAGCTGCAGGCACCTAAGAAAAGCACTTGAACACATTTTGAGGACACCCATATACACGTGGGACCTTTCTAAGGAGAGCTGCATAATGCCTCTAAGTATGGGACTTCTTGTCGCAGCTTGCGTAGGCTGGGATACCAAGGATGGCTTGGTATGGAGAGCATCAGGCCTTTCTGGCTGTAATAGTAAGTGGCTGACGCAGTTTCAGCCTAGTGGCCTCCTAAAACTCTCAATATGTGCCAGATACAAGGAGCTCTTCATCACATGGATGTCTGAAGAACCAGATTGAGGCCAGCACATCTGGGCATGCAGAGTACTAATCAGTCCTCGGAGGCTGAGTCACCATCCACTCCTACCAGACCAGGTTTTGAAGTAGGTCAGAGATCAGTTGTTTATTGTCAAAATCCTTAAGCTCTCTATCCTTCCTTGCCAGTACAGCTCTTCAGCTTTCCACCACTGTTTCAGAGTTACTCTAAGCGGCCTGTGCCACTTAGTCAACTTTTCCTTAACGTCGCTTTCCAGAGGGAAGCAAACAAAGCGTCACCCTCGGTCAGGGCAGGGTGCCCTCTGTGCGTGACCTTTACCATGCTAACCTGCCCTCATCTTGCCCGACAGCATTAATTGCCTCTTAGCGCGGCTTTGTCCACAGCTCTGGGAGGTTAGGCCAGGCAGCTCATGCTTGCAATAGCTAGGAACTAGTAATAGCCAGTTTGGATCCTGGTATGACAGAAGGAGAGGCTGGTCATGCCCCTGCTCCAGCACCCCATTAGGGTAGAGGAATCGCCAAGGTGCAGGTTAGTTTCAGCTCAGCCCTCTCCCCTGCCGACACAGGCTCTTCCTCATCTTCTGTCTCAGCTCTGCACCACAACCCACATGAGGAGGGCGTGCTGCTATCTGTTCTTGTTTCCTCCCTCTCTGTGTTCCTATCAGAAACACCACGCTGAGTCAGAGGCAGGGGCTGTGACTGAAATGAGAGAGAAAACTCAGAAATGCACAGATTTCAGACCAATGCGGCTACCCCAGCTCTTGAAAGAAAACTAGGCCTCAAAAGTGTATGAGATACTCAGCAAACAGTGGCTAAAGAAACACTGTGGTATTAGAAACTGCCTAGCAAGCAGCAAAATAGGATAGCAGAGAGTGTCTGGCTTGCCCAAGGTAACAAACAAGACTCAGAAGAGCGTTGTAGCATGGGTGTTACGTGACCTTCTACCCTCTTGCGGTATCTGCTGTTTTTGGACATTTGCTGAAAAGAATCCCTCCAAGATCACTCTTCTGGTATATTGGGTGGTGATAGCTGGGTTTTCCAGCACAAACATAACTGTGCTACAGTGAGAAGCTTCCAGCAGGGATACTCTTTTCACATGCGTTTGGATGAGAAGTCATTTAAAATCCTGTGCTCCCTAGGTAGGAACAGGGTACCACAAACCAGCACCACGTGTCCCGATATTCTAGTCCCAGACATATAAATCTAGCCGCTGGCAATATGCTCCCATTGTACATTAAGCAGAACAGATCTGGAAGTATCTGGAAATACTTCCCACATCCAGATCTCCCCAGCAAGAACCACGTCTTGGGTAGGCTGCATTTTTATTGCCTTTACTGCCTGGCTCAGATGATAGCCCTATGCTTAAGGTGAGCTGTGTGAGTAATGGCACTTCAGTATAATGGAGCCATTTGCATCTGCCCGGGTGAAATGGTGTTTAATGGTCTGTACAGTTACACGACCTCTGGTTGCAATCCGATCAGATATCGCGAGATAGATAAAGTGGAGTCTTGCTGATCATGGGAGGGGAATGGAGGGTGTTAGGAGGGGAGTTTGGGATTTGGGGTATAGCCCAAAGGAGGGAGGACTGGTCAGTAGGTGGCAATCTTATATCTGAAGCAGGAAAGACCCATGACAGCACTAGAAAAATCCATGCAACTGGCCATGTTTTCCATGAGATGTGTAATCAGGAGGTCTAAACTCTTTGGGTAGTAGTTCTAATTGCATGGAGTGAGTGCACCATGCAAATACAAGCCATGGATTATCATTAACCAAACCTCAGGCATTTCAGTCGGTCCTTACAGCAGTGAATGACCACCTCACAGACTGATGGACTGCTTGGTCTGTGCAAAGTCAGTCACCTGCAGCAGTTTGATCAACGCTGCTTTAATTCAACACTGCAGTTTAGGCATCTTTGCTGATACAGTGCTGACTCAAGAAACGCTTTCATTTGGGGCTTTTTGTCACGTATAGGAAAAGTGCTGCAAACCATTTCCAGAGCATTTGACCTCGTTTGCAGCCTGTCAAGTGGGAGAGAGGCCGTGAAGCAGGAGAGTGGCTGGGACCAGGCAGGGAGTACGCAGCCATGAAAGCATTTATGCTACACGTTGTCCTAACAACAGCAGCCGTCTCTAACCCAAGATTTCCTGTGCTAACATCATGAGGAATCCTTGGCTGTGGCCTGTTACCTGAAAGGAACTTCAGGGGATGGAGGAGGTGAGAAAAAAACAGATGCTGCTGCTTTTAAAGCAAATATAGCATTGATGAGAGTTAACTTGTTCACAACCCTAGTTCCTCAAGCCTTGCCTCACTCACAGGGATGTGGAGAACAGGCAGAGCTGGAGCAAAACATGCCTGTTCTGCCCTTTGCTCCAGGTGGCCATGACAGTGCAGGTCCATGGGAGTGCAGGTGCAGGAAAGGCTCAGGTTCTTTCTTGTGGACCCTTCTGGGGCCACTGTCACCTGTAATGTCACCAAACTGCACAGGCCTCAGAGCACCAGCCCCCAGTACCCTGCTGAAACAGCTCTTGCCCTGAATTCGGTGAAGCAAGGTGAGGGGGCTAAACACGAGGTTACATGTCAGGCTGTGGCAAGGCAAACAGTCATGCCAAAGCCTCCCAGATCCTTGTCCTTTCCCTTGGGTTAGAGCAATCTCAGTTGCCTGTTCAGATCCTAGCCCCATAAGCTGAGCAGCTGATTTGGGTCCGTTGCAACCGAGATACGAGCCCCTGAGGCCTACGACTCATTTTGCTCAGCGTGCCAGCAGTCACCAGCTGGAATCTGACAGCTAAGCACTGCTAGTCTGTGTTTGATTTACGCTGGCGGCCTTCTTGCTGGAGTCAAGGTCAACGGGAGTAGCACAGGGAGGTGAAGAGGCTGTTACAGCACACAGGAGCCACCCAGACACTCACACGCAGCTTGATTTCTCGCCATTTTTCATGGCCTGGTTTTCACAACGCGTGCCCACGGATTTAGGTTATAACCCCGGCGGTGTTGCAACAAGTTACGGCTTGGGAGCATGTTTCGGCTGCCATGCTTGCACAGTCTGCCTCACGAGCAGCCCGGGCTGCCTGGCTGCAGCTCGCAGGTAGCAGGTAAGGCTTTTGCTCCTGTCCCACTGTAACCTGAAGCACATCAAGAGTAAGCTCACCTGCACCGAGCCCTTCTGCCCGAGATGCACGGCCCTCACCTGGCCGCCTGGGAGAGCTTGGGACACTGCGGGAGTGCAGCTCAGCGGGGCGTGGGGAGGAAAGGGCGAGCATCAGAGCGGCTCGGGCAGCTGCTCACACACTGCCCTCTGAAGCGGTGATCCGTGTTCACGACCTGACCCGGTTTCGGTCCCCTGACGGCTTCACAAGGAAGAATGCTTTGGGATTTCCAGAAGGCGCTTGCACAAGGGCTGATAAGAGGTGAGCTGCAGGCCGAGGCAGGCGCATCATCGAGGCGGTGTTGCCACACGTGTTGTAAGGTGAGTGAAGTATGTTGGCATTTCATGAAAAGTCCACTCCTTAGTGTAAGCCAGATGTCTCGCAGCCTCAGGAGCCAGTCTGGGGCTTGCAGCGGCAGAATCACAGGCAAGAGTGGAGGAAAGGCTGGGACACACAGGAGGGCTTGGAGCCTCACATCTGGCCTGCTTGTGCTTGCTCCTTCTCACCTTTGGTGAAACACTGGTTGCTTATCTCTGAAAGCCATTTGCTTTCCACCCACCTGCTGTGTC